TTTTGAATTTGATTAAATGGAGGGGGTGATCATATTATTTCGAAAGACGTTTCCAAGATTTTCGGACGATCATGTGTTGACTGAGCAACAAATTTGATTAAATTCCCATCCCATCGAAAATGTATTCAAGTTTCAATTTCTAATTTCTCGATATTTAATTTCTCGGTATTTACGAAAAAAGAGTATCTTAATTGAGGCCAAGCATATCCGGTTTCTAGAGTAAATGGCAGTCGTTGATCGCGCACAAATTAATTCATGTAATCGTTCGTTAATTGCAAGATTCTCCAGCGTAACGATTTATCGTGCAAGTGACACAAGTTTCAACGATAATTGTGAGGCGTGTTATGCGACCTGTCGTTCGCCACTGTTGCGTCGGTCGACAGCATTAAGGGACACGGACAAGAGGATCCATCGCTAGATCTACTGTCTTTTCTATGGATATAATGATTCGATGTTCAAACATTTTTACTGAAAAGTAGCATTCTAAGAGAACAAGAATATTAATTCTTTTTTTAAAGTCAGCATTTGTAGAAGTTATGGCTAAGCAAACACCACTGACACTATCATTATTCTACTCTCTATACTTGCTCTTCAAGAGAAACATAATCGAACACTTTATTGTCGAGGCTGAAATTGTACAGAAAATGAATCAATTCACTAATATAGAAATACACGATATTGGAGCATTATTTTGAGGTTGCAAATATCGCTATTGATGCAATTAAAATATTAAATATCATAGAGACTTGCTGTTCCAAAATTACACGGCCAACAAAATTCTGGAATATTTAAATAATCTCGAATGTCGGTCGTTCGAAAATGTTTAATCGTTTTTGTCTATTTTCTAATTCTATTTTTGGAAAGATATCCTCGAATTTCGCGCGATCTTTTGGTATCGTTGTTGATAAAAAGAAACAAAGTCGACTCGACGATAAAACGGCGCCAAAGATTATTTTTTGTTAGTACCTACTGCAAAGTTGAAGACAAAATATTACACAAATGGAAACGTACCACGGTAATTAATTTGTATTATTATTTCTCTTAATTTTCATTTTTTTCTCGTTAAATGTGAAAGGACCTTCTCCACTATGGGAAACTTATTGAACTCTAAACTTCGACATAAAAATCTACATAAAAATTCGAGAATCTCACCTTCCTAGAAATTATAATTAAAATTTGCACGATCGATCAACATTTGTTAATGAAAAAACAAATCGATCTTATTGTCTGGAGATGTATAGTTCAACAGATAGTAAAAACAGTGTCAGGTATATAAAAACAAGCACTTGTTGGTAGAAATTGATTCTCGTACAATTTTTTATGTTTCTGTTCTCTGGTTTCTTGAGCAAGAATCTCTCATCAACTGCAAGGATTGTTTCTATCATCTTTGACGTTACTGACGTCAAGTATGATGCTATAGTCAAACGTATAGTGTAATTTCAATAAAAGCAAACCAATATTTGCACGAAAAATCGTTGCATCTGCACCCGTTTGTTGATATCTATCGTAAAAAGAGAGTCTTCAGAGACGGACGAGCTTCGTTCATTGACCTTTCTTCATCCGCAGTACGCAGAAGCGTTCAGAAGATTCGAACTTCAAATTTCAAGGTTTCTTTTCGTGATCGAAATTCTTCGTAACGATGATTCTCGGCGACTGAATCTCCTTTTCTCGACAGTTTCGATACCGGTTTAAAAAATTTTTATTTTAAGGCACTAGGCTTTCTACGATTCGCGTCAGCTGCGTTTCTATGTCTCGCTTTTGCTAGGTTACAAAAGATTCGTGGACAATCTGAACGGTTATTGTCGCTAAGGCACGGTCCTACAAGTTCATGGGAAAGTCTAAAGGCACCCTAACGCGTCGCACACAGGCACACGCTCGCCTCACATCCTATTGGAGCGTAAATACGCGGTTTTTAACAGCTACATGGTTAATCGTTACCGTCGAAAATAGATCAATTTCCTCGTGTCTTTTCTAGACTCGTCGCGTCTCCTGTCTGATCGAGGGAAAGCCACAACTCGGGATTTTTCACACTTTGAACGCGTGGATCTTGCAAGAAAGTAAAGAAATATTGTCCATAAACTTGCGATCGCTTCACGAAACACATTTATATCAAGAAACTGTTTTGATTTTTAAATCAGAGAAACTTGAGGAACGCTGTTGAATAAATGTAATTTAAAATAAAAATAAAACCTTTCGTTGAAAATTTATATAAATTGAATTCAGAAGATCTGAAAAATATTATAAATAGAGATGTCGAATATGTATTATAGAAAGACGGAAAAGATTGAATGCGTCGATTAAACGCCAACATTCCTCGTAAGCATCTCCGTAATTAAAAAAGTAAATTGTAGTATGCTCACTACTTTTACAATTAAAATACGCATTCTTTAAAGTTTTCAAACGATACAAACGTATTCTTCTAACAACTTATAGTCGCAGAACGTTGCAAGATCTCAAGTTTCTGTACTTCTTCGATGAACGACGGGCGTGACTTTGAAAAGGGGCGAGTTTCGGGGGATGAAAGTTGCGAGTGCAGGCCTCTTCGTGGAAAGAAATCGAAGACAGTGCCAAAAGAAGATCGATATTTCCACGCTCGGGAACGGATCGTCGTGACATAATTGGACAATTCTTAATCAGTGTTCTTTTCAATAAAATTTCGTAGTATTGTAGCTCAGTGTATTCCGAAGAAATGCTGCCAATAATCATCCTACCAATAATCACGCGTTTATACAGTGTGGGAAGGGATGAATAGTAAAACCAGCCAGAAAGTGATCTTTCATATGAAAATTCATTGAAACGAATAAATAGTATTCTTTCGTTTTTAAGATACCGTGTGGAACAAAACTGAACACACACGCGGACTTTTAACGTAAAACTATATTTTATTTAATGCTTTACAAAAATTTAAAAAAATTATACGTTATACCATTTTAAATATTAGAATAGTCTGCTGAATATTTGAACACAATAGAAAATGTCTGGGTGTGTTTAAAAATAAAATTGAGTAACATAATATTAGGTCAAAATATTGAAAAAATTTAGCATTAAGTATGTTTGAGTCATTATTGAAGGTAAAGGTTCTGCTGAAAGCTTTACTGAAAATCAGTGGCGGTGATTTCAAGAAGAAAATTTATATTAAGCAAAATAATTATAGTGATACCAAATATCGAATAAAATATTATTTCTGTTGAAATTTCATGCGTGCGTTCAACTTTACTCCTCGTTACAATCGAATTCGAAAATTTATGGATAACACGTGCGATTGAATACGATTTGGCTGTCGCGTCTGACCATTAATCTCTTTTTCTACTTGCGCCAAAGTCCAAACCGCAGTTTACTGCACGCTTACCCCATGAATCTTTCTTTTTGTACTCATTTTTACATGTAAAATCACCCTCTGCCCAGTCGTACCACTCATCCTGTTCTAAAGCTCCGTCTTAAATTGAACATTTATGAGACGAAGTGGAAGTACAGTTACAATAGATGCAAATGTTACTCCCAAGTTAGTCTATGGAAAATAGACTCTCAGAGTTGTTATAAAAGCAAACGGTGGGGCAACTTCATTATTTAATTCAAATATTTTTGTAAACCACTTATGGTACGCGTTCATAATAAATATATTATTAAACTATTTTCTAATTTCATTCGTGTAGTCTTAAGGCCCATTCCTTATATATTTAATTAGTTGAATGTTACTGGTGCGATGTTTAGGTGGCAGCACTTCTTTCGAGCGTATCAAGAAGTCGCAAGATCCGTCCCCGCGTGAAATAAAATACAAGGATCGTATCGTCGTTGAGCATCCCTTTGGGATTAAAAGCGCGAGAAACCCGATCGTTCGCAATGCATACATATAAGACGCGCGCGTATCAGACGATCTATTCGCTCCTAGAGCCTTTGCATCATAGAACATACCTCCCGTACACTTATCCCGTTCCACCTCCTGGCGTCTGTACATTCACATAATATACATACTCTTTAGTCTCAACGAAACGTCTTCTTCCAATATTTCTTTTCCAGCGAGCAACGGATTGCCCGGTACACGCGGACGAATCTTCGGTTCGTCTTCGATCTTGTTCCTCCGTCTGCTCTGTCTCGTCTTGGCTGGCAGTCTTTTTATTAACTCTCGGTTTATCAATACTGTTCGTAATACGATTAACGAAACGCGTACCCTCCTGGCAGCAGCAACGTATCCCGAGAAAGCGTATAATCTTTAGTACGATTCGTTACGACTCGATTCGAGCCGGTCGACTCTCTTTCGTCAGCCCGAGAGAGAGGGGGGGGGGAAAAAGCTAACAAAACGTCAGCGACGCGGAAGAGACAACAAAACGTTACGTTCGAACGAAAACGAAATAAAAGGAAATAGTGATTCCGCGTGAGCGTAGAAAAAATCATTGCACCGTCGTTGAATGCTTCTTGTGTCTTCGCGGCTGGTTTCTCTATCGAGTAACACCCCAGTGTCGGACATCGAGGACCATAATCAATGACTCCAACAATGATTTGTTACGGGACGGAGAGGGCCGTCTCTTCTCTTAGTTTGATTCTGAAATCACCGATGATGCGATGGACTAGACACGACGTCGTATTTTAAGCACGATTTTCTTCTCTGTCGGCTGGGGTGAAGGTTTTCGAGGACTCCTTCTCGTCCTATGTTCATAGCAAACCGTGTAGAAACGCTATAGTCGAACACCGTTACCCGGCGTGTCGTTTCAACCAAAAGTCTCGATTCGGCGAATCCTTCGTCGAAGACTCGATCTTCTTCCCTCTCGTGTTCTCTGTCTTTCATATACATATATATTAACTATCTATACTAAGACCTAAGTCGCGACGACGACTATTTTGCACCACGCGGAGGGTACACGAACGATACTAAAAAAAGAAAAAAAAAAAAGAAAAAAAAAACATAAACGAAAAAACGAAATGTACAAGGTCTTTTTCTATTAAATATTACAGTGTGTCTTTTTTCTTCGCGCTAAAGCTATATACGATAGACTTATCATCCGTGTTTATTGTCTACGAGTTCTATGTCAGTTTTCTCATTCCCGATCTGATTCGAACGGTTTCAAACGTTCGAGAAGTATCGCGAGGGTTCCTTCGGGTCCTTGATCTTCCGAGATTATCCGTTTACCGGCTAATAAATAATCTCGCGTAAGTACGAGGTCCTCGAGCTGACCGAACAGTTACCGTTCGACGCGTCGACCAGAAACGGCGCGCACCGCGCGAGCTATCGATTCCTTCTCGACGAGAACGGCTGAAGATTAATGACTAGGCCGCGGTCGGGGTGCTCCTAATCATTCGGCTCGTCCGTGTAACGTAGCATCATGAATCGAGCATGGACAATCGCGAGCGATACTGCAGGGGAATGTCTACAGGGAGCGTGTATGAAAATTGTCTTTTTTTCCTCAGTCCTTGATTAGGTTTCGTCGGCAGGATCCGAATTCACCGGCTGGATCCAGCCCCCCCGTTGCTTCCTCATACCCTCCCGCCAGCCGCGGAGCGAGAGAACGCACGGATCCATCAGGGAATGTCTACGGGGACCAGACAAGTGTCTTTCTTGAGCCTCCTCCAATAACTGGTCGTTGTTACCGCTGGGCATCGTTATGTGTCCATGTGTCGATATTTGTGGGCGGACATTTGCGCCAGCCCCAGCACGGCGTACTGACACTGCAAACAGTGATAATGAGTCTGTTTACCAGAATGCTGGCACTGTACACCCCCGCACGGCTGACTGGGCGTGAACTTCTGGAAGCCAGCCGCCGCGATGCTGTCCAGTTTCGCGTGCTGTCGCCGATGGGCCACCACTTTGTTGGTGTCCGTACAGACGAAGTCGCATTTCAAACAGTGGAAGTGCGACGCCTTGTTCTGCATCGAGCCCAGCGAGGACGTGTAGGCGCACTGGGCCCTGCCGCACGGAACGTTCGCCCTGTACTGTTGGAAATCGCCGCCCATCAGGGTATCCAGCCGCTCGTGTCTCGCCGTGTGCTGAACGAATCGCGTTTTGTCACAGAACGAGTAACCGCAGTCCTGGCGCATACAATGGAAGTGAGTTTGGTGCTCCCTGTAGCCGCAGTGGGGGTACCTGCAGTCTTCGTTGAATCGGAACCTGAAATCATGCCGGAAACGTTATTGAAATCTCGTGGAATTTTTGGAGGAAGTAGATAATAGATGGCTGGGGTTAGCGACGAGAGAATCTCAACTTTCAACCGATTCCAAAGACTATGGGAAGATTCCAAGCTGAGAACTCTTGGAGCAAGTCTCGAGAGTGTCTCGTAAAGGTCTTGTGGCAGATACTGTATGGAGAAAGTGGATAAGCTAGTGGGACTTTAGCTAGCCCTGTCAGTCGAGGAATGTATATACAGGGTGTTCGACCACCCCTGGGAAAGATTTTAGTGGGAGATTCTTGAGGCCAAAGTAAGACGGCAAAGTACAAACCGAACGTATCCTTCGGGAACTGGTTCGTCCTTCAGCATCCGCATCGAATGATGAAGCCTCTGCTTCTTCGCTTCGGGCGAGTTGCTGTCAGGCGGAGACAAGGATCTTTTGTTCAAGTTTAGGTTCGCTGCCAGGGAGGCCAATGGATTCTCGTCTCTGGTAGGAGGTAGAAAGTTCGCTGGAGGTAGACCAGGTGCGAACATTAACCCTGGTCCACCGGTGTACATGCCACCGTGTTGAAGGAACGGCGGTAGGGCTTGGTTCATTAAAGCGATCTGCTGATTCATGGCGGCCATCACGGCCGGGCTAGGAAAGTGAAACCCGTGGCTGAGGTCCAGTTCGAAAGTGGTCGGGACTGGGGACTGTTGAACGCTAGGTGGGAGGCTCGGCTGAGACAACTGTCCGTTCTCGTTGCTGTCCATCACCGAGTTGTTCCCCTCGTCCCTCGATATTTCACTGGGTTCCCTCTTCACGTTTGGAACGCTCTGGATACCGACGTCGGAGCCACATCTCGCTGGTTCCATCTTCACCTCCTTCACCTGGGTCTGCTGGCTCATCTGGCCCAGAGTTTGCTGCATCTGTCGTTGCATCTGATTCTGAAAGTTCTGAATGTTCTGCGCCATCTGAGCGTTCTGCGCCATGAAGTCGTGCTTCTGCGACAGCTGCGTCAAATAGTCGTGTTGCAGTTGACTGGGGACCTGATTGGCCAGATCGTGTTGCTGCTGGCTCAGTATGGCGCCCGTCGAGTGCTTCGCGATGTGAGCCACCAACCGATCCAGCTCGGAGAGCGCCTGATTGCACGCGTTGCAGTGATAATGGTTCTTGCGTTTCAGTTTACAGAATGGTCTGCTGCAGCTCTGCTCGGGCCCGTAAAGCGTGTGCGGCGAGGCCGAGCTGGTGGATGGGAGCACCGGTGATTCTGTAATCGAAACGGTCGGTCTAAGTTGAAGCGTGAAGCCCCCGAATTATGAACGCGAATCGTGACGACGTTACTGATTATACTAAGAGAACACGTTTTCAAGGCAAGAAAATTTGTCGTCGAAAGAGACACGAACCTTGATGCACGGAAGTTCGCATGGATAGCACGACGCCCGGAAGTGCAGGTTCACTCGGCGGTCCACTGACCGGATAATAGGTGCCTGCCGCCCTCACCACTAGCAACAATCAACCAAACAACCAACACTTCAAATATACCTCCCACTATAATTACAACCACCTTGTACAATAGATACATCAGACGGAAAGAAAAAAAATAACTGTACAATCGTGAACAAACGAAAAGGGAATAGTGGAGACGTGGGTTGAAAATCCTTTCGATAAGCGGTACGGTCGAACAAATTTATCAAAATATCGAAAGGGTTAAAGGAGTGCTGATGTGTTCAAATATACATTGAAGTGCGTGTACGTGCAAAATAAAAAGACATGCATTTAAACGAGTGACTCTTTCTCGTGACATTTCAAAGTAACTACCAAACAAAACTCATCTATAAAACAATACTATACATGTGCACTGGTTCGTGTCCTTACGTAAACCACACTTACCGGTCGTCTTGTTGGCGTCTGGACTCGGAATCTCTGATTCCTTGTCGTCCATCATCGATCTGTTCTCCGTCTCCCCTCCGGTCATACTATCGTCCGGTTTCTCTATAAGTTCCGCGGTGTTCTTCACTTGGATCCTCGGTTTCGTTTCCTGCACGATCGCTGGCTGCACCTGCGCGTGACACTCGTGCGACTCGTGACCGCCGCCCTCGTTGTGACCGCTGTGCTGTTTCTCGTGCAGGGCCATGGTCGAGTATCGGACGAACGAGTAGCCGCAGTTCGGTCTGGTGCAGTGGAAATGCCGGTTCACGCGATTGCTGTGACAGCCGGGCAGCCGACAGTCCACCATCTTGTCGAAGAAGGCGAAACCCGGCGGTATGTCGACGTTGTCGTGGAAGTCTTTGCTGTGCATCAACAGCTGGTCGGGCTTGTCCGTGGAGAAGTGGCACCTGGGTTGCAAGCAATGATGGTGTCTGGTGGACCTGAGCACGCAAGCGGGATCGGGACATCCGTCGGGATTGTAGGTGGAGAACCCTTCGGGCTCGCCGAGGCTGTTCGAGGGCGAGACGCTTCCCTCGCGATCCTCGGTCAAAGGGTTCGCGGTCAGGCTGGGCGTTTGGGGTTTCGGTAACTTGAAACTGGTGAAGATCGCCTGCGGCGAGTCGTGAGTGTGGGTGGCTGGGTCGCCTCCCGACCAGATCTCGATCACTCTGTTCTTGGGGGGTCTGCCTCTCTTCCGCCTGAACATGGCGTCGATGTTCGTCAGGTGCGTGAGCGTCACGTCCGAGGATAAAGCGTGGGACGAGCAGGAGAGGTTCAGCTGCCTGCTGTACTCGTGGATCTTGTAGTGCTGAAGGCGACGGAACGGCTTGTCCGTCGAGAGGATCACCTCGCGGCAGTTCTCCCAGTTGCAGTGATAGTGCTTCTCTTTGTCCGCGTACGGGCAGTTGTCGTCGCAGCCGCCCTCCTCGAAGAACGCGTCCGTGATGCGTTCCTGCGTCTCGTGTTCCCTCAAGTGTTCCCTGACCTCGCGGGGATCCCTCAGCCCGGCCCCGCAGCGATCCAATCCGCAATGATGGTGATCTCTGCCTAGGTGACACGGACAGTCAGCGGCGGCAGGTACGAGATACGCGAGCTCCGTGGGGGTCAGTTGGCTCTGCTGTTGCAGCGGATGTTGCTGCTCGACGGTCACCGTGGAACTTCCGCTGGCGGTGACCGTGGTCGTAGGCGCGGTCAGGTCCATCGCGAGCTCGCTGGCGCTTTGGAAAGAATCGTCGAGGGAATAGTAGGATGGGGAGCCTCTGTCTTCGTTCGAGCTCTCGCCGTTCAGGCTGAGGGACAGGCTTTGGGTGCTCAGATCGTCGGGCGGCCATGATCCGGACGGTCGTATTCCACCCACCGTGCTGATCTGCTTGTATTTTCTGTACGCCAACTCGGACTCGTGACGCTCGTGTTTCCGCTTGTGGGAGAACAGCTGACCGGACGAGTGGAGAACGTAGCTGCAGTGAGGCCGTATGCAGTGGATGTGATTGCAAACGCGGGAGAAACGACACTGCTCGAAGGGACACGCCTCGGACTTCATGAACTTCTTGAATCCGTCCCGGGACAGCTGCTCGTCTTTTATGTGATAGGATTTGTGTTTGTCTGTAAAACGGAAATAAAAAGGCATGGTTAGAACTTATCGCGAGCGTCGTCTTCTGGGTAAAAGGCTCCATTTTTTACACCCTCGAATATACAGAATGCTCGACATCTAGGGAACGAGTCTCGTAACATAACGATTTCAAATTATTTCTTGTACAAACAGGTGTTTCGGATAAAAGTTCCACGATTTTTAGAGGGGCATATTGTATACTTAATAAACAAAAAAAAACAAAAGAAAACCTTCATTCCAACCTCAAACCATCGTCTCGCATTTTTTTTACTATTTGTAATTTATTCGAGCAGACAGTTGGAACGCACCATGAAATAACTTCTACAATTCTTATTATCTGGTATTGAAACAATTTATGTGCATTTTCAAAAGACCAATAAAAGAGCAGAACCCTCGTTTTATGGTACTCTTTGTAAAGAGAAAGCTTTATTTTTCGAACCTTAATTTCTAGATAGCAACGTGAGCATTTACCCATGTCAGCCTTGTTCTTGAACGTGAATCGACAGCCTGGTCGTCGACAATGAAAGTGCGTGGTTCGTTGGCCAGCGAAGGGACAGTGTTCCGTGGCGCAGCTCTCGGTAGCTCGAAATCTCTGGAAACCTTCTTGGATGATGGCTGAATCCTTGCGGTGATAGTTGGCGTGCATTTGTACGTCCGACGTTGATATGTAAACCTTGTCGCAGTTCTCATGTATGCAGTGATAGTGAGTTTGCTTTCTATTGTGAGGACAGGCACGACCTGGATGCCTTTCCGAGCAGTCGTCCGTTGGCGAGTACCTCATGAAACCGTGCTGCAATGATTCGTCCCTCTTTTTGTGCCACTTGAAATGCCTGATCATCTCTTCCTTTTTTACGAACACCCTGCCGCTGCAGTCCAGGCAGTGAAAATGCTCTCTGCACCCGAGCTCCTTGCAGTATGAGCTGCCACATTCTTGTCCGGACGAGTACCTTCTCACGTATCGGGAGTAATCGATTATCGGCTGGGACACGGAGCTTTTCGAACTGCCGATCAGGGTATCTGCAACCGGAGACATGCTCTGTCTCAATAATGCTGAAATCAGAGAATCGAAAACCGTAGGTTAGAATCTAAAAACTGTATTGAGAACATTCGTAACCAGAGTCATTTGTCATATTTTAATTGAGAGTAAGATTGTGCAATTTAACAAGGGTTACTCTGACTCCTAATCCTGGCCATAAAGGATTTCTAGGACATAAGAGCAGATGATACGACCAAAATAAAGATCAGTTTAAAGCATTCGTCTGTATTTAAATTTCTAGTTCCAGACTTTATTGTACTTCAATAAATGATCATTTCTTATGTTTTTGAAAGTAGAACCAAGTAATTTTAAATGGGGAAAAAGTTTAATCATAAAGAATACAAATTGTTGTTTAAAATTAGTTGACCAGTAGATATGAGTTTAAATTTCTACTTTGTACTATACATAGGAATCTGTAATCTAGGGTGAAAAAAGTCACTAGACACTACTGTGTCCATTAGTCGGTAAAGAATCTTCTATCGGTAAAAAGGAATTCTGTAACTATGGGAGACCGACCGAAATCAAGTTGCCTTGCGAGCGATTTCGCCCGTAGTGGCGCTAACGTTGTCCAACGACACATACATACTAGAACAATTCCCGATACACATATCAAGAGTTATGAGCGCGGCGTTCGACGACCCGCGCGCTCTTGGACACCCGAAAAACTGGTTATCCGCGGCGCACAGCGAAATAAAGAGAGCGCACGAGCAAAAAGGTGAATTCCAGGGAAAACAATGGCTATTGTAAGGAAAAAAGAACCCTCGATGCGCGTATTTATGGAGCACATCGTACACGCGGGAATTTCGAAACGAATGGTAAAAAAGAACAGCAATTACTTTCGAGACGAATTTTAACGCGAATCAACCTTCAAAAAGTAATTTATAAAACCAATTTTCTAACGTCTCGATTCCATCGTAAGTTTCGAACAACGTTCTGCAGATTTTCGCTAGGGAATTCCGCGGTGCGTTTCGTTCAAACGGCCTGAAATGGGTTCGCGCGCGTGTCCCTCAACCGTACCGAGAATTTCGCGAGTAGCCGCGAAATATGTAACTACGGGGAGAATATATAGCATGCCCCCCCGCCCTCGTTCGCCGGAAACCACGTTCCAACGTTCGTACCCTGCCGAGGGCCTGGTTGATTCCGAGAAATTCCTACTTGCCGACTGTGCGCGTTTGAATGCGTTCAGAAACGAGTTTAAAAATTGTCGAATATTTCTCTTAGGGATCCCCCACACCCCCCCTCGCCCTCCTTAGTCGTGACTGGTGGGGATAGGTAGCGGTAAAGTTTTATGCGCACGTGTGTACGCGAAAAAGAAGAAGGGCTCCCGTCGCAGCGGAGGAACCAAAGAAAAAGGAGCCTCGAGAAAAGAGACGAAACGGTAAAGGTTGCGAGGGAGGTGCCCCGGGCATTATTCTTCGCCATTATGTTCCCCAAACTGCGCAAAACTCCGACAGTTTTGGGGGTCGTGGAATTTCTTACCCCCACTCCACGACCAAATGTGACTCTGATCTTATCGCGTGAGTCGTCCAGTAGATTTGTTGATCTTGTTTTCCAAACAACTTTGAATCGAAATAAAATGGAAGCTACGAAAACACTCATGGTGCTCATGGTTTCAGTTTGATCACATTCAATGACACTGCATGTGAAATACAATTTCATTTGAACGAGCACTGCATCTGTACTTTTTAAGAAACAAAGTGGAGGGGTGGCTGAACACCCTGTATATTCGAACGATGGAAACTCTTGCAACGTTTTATTCGAACAACAGATGAATAAGAATTTCCTTTTTGCATCGAATTACGCAAGAACGGTGAAGATTGGTGTTCTAGGGTTTCAAGAAGATGTTCTCGTTGTTTTTCTATCGTCGTAGCGAAATGTTGCCCATCGTTATCCGCTAAGGACACCGTACTTGCGCAACCTTTCCCTCGATTTCTTCGATTGGCTCGCGATCAAAGGCATCGAAATTCTTCCGTAACGGGGTAGGGGGACGGGAACGTGCTCGAGTTACGAAATTTACAGTTCGGCCTGAATGTTTAAATTAATTATCCAACCCGGCCGAACCAACCGGGAACGCTCGCGTATATTGTTGCGTAACATTCGGTTATGACTATTAATCTATCCTCCGGTGCAGTAATTATGTAACGCAGCTGCGTGCTTTGTGCCGCTCGTTAGAGCCACCTTCTGACTAGCAAGCCGCGTCGAGGAAATTGTTATCCGCACGAATTTACAGCCAGCTTCTCGTTGATGTGTTGTCGGTGTCGAGAGTGCGAGGCGAGGAGAGGGGCAGAGACAAGACAGAGAGAGGAAACAACGCAGGGGGGTCAAGGCTCGAGATCAAGTTGTATTAATTAAGAATAAACACATTCGGCATCCAGTGCCACGGAGTCCATGATTCTTCTTTCGTATCCGGGAATGTCAGACATTTTGTTGACACCTAATTATGCGGCTCGCGACGCAGGAAGCCTGCCAAGACGGCGACCGCGCGACTGTCGAACATCACCTGGCCTTGGAACTCGTTAAAAGATACAATGATGCATATTACGCGCCAATCGTGCGCCACTTTGCGCTCCCACATCCGAAATTCTTTTACGAAACAACCGAACCACGAGATTCCGATCACTTCGCGTCCTATACGCATGCGTAATGTAGAAGAATGGAAAGAAACGTGGACCACAACAAACGGGAGGAAAATTCACGATGCACGTGTAATGCAATAGTTGAGGATTTCAGTCAACGCGATTAATGTCAAATTTTATGTAACGCTGGATGAAAATTGTATATTTAAGTATTCTCGCGGTTTTGATCGATATTAGCAAAGTCATTTAAAAATATAAATATATGATGTTTCATAACTCCGCCATTTTGTTTAGTTTGAGTACTAAAACTTTGCTTAATATCAGATAAAACATTAACTTAATTAAAAAAATTAAAAATGGATATTTTTATAGGCTGCCAAGATGGCGTACACTTTACAGTCTTTTACATCGCTGGGAAAAAAAAAATCATTCAACGTGTCAATTAGAAATATCCACCACCTCCTAGATGCAGAAAATTTGAGCCTCAATTACGAAAACACATAAAGAATAACCATTAAATACCTAACAGATTCAAATCTCCTGCACAGAATCCCTTAAACTTCTACTAAAAAAATACGAAAACCGGATTCGAAAGATTAACTCTAAATTTGCCTCGAAATTTGGAAGATGCGTGTCTCACGCCCCAAAAAAGACCAGATCGAAGGTCTACGGGATATTCAAATGAAATATTTTGGACCACACACTTCTAATCATACGTTCCTGGAAGTATATTTGACAGCGAGAAAAATCTTGGGAATTTGTGACCCCATTAGGGATTGCGAATTAATTCTAACGGAGACCTAACTGAGATCTACGAGGGGAGGTTGAAGAGTTTGAATCAAGGGGCACAAAAAGTATTGTATTATTTTTTCTTTTCAATATATGCTCCCTTGAGCCTAACACGCTTATCAGATCTCTGAATTAGTTAATTCATTCCCCCCTGCCTCCCAAAAAAATTGTTTCTGTCCGTTGCCTCACAATGAGCCAAAATTACTGGCCAGATCCAGATTGTAGTCCATTTGGATCCAATTATTCCTTTCAGAGTCTTAAAGTTTCTGAATTTGATGGATAATTTCACAGTGAGCTTGTGAAATTAACAACATTGATCTAAATAAAAAATTCAATCAGAAGCCTTCTACTCGTAATGGAAGCTTCGGGTCATAATGGCCCCGAGGGCTGAATTTGGAAACCATTTGTGAAAGGTGATTATGACAACGTTACTTTTTGGAAACGAACGTGTTGTTTGCTTTGTGTTTCACTTTCCTACCAATTTGACCCATTTATTAGGGGATAAATTGTATAGTAATTGAACTATCAGAATAAAAATTGGTATTTGTAATCGTAATGAGTTGCACAATGGAACTATTAACGCCAGCTAGTGTCCACCCCCTTTTATTCTTTTTGACCCACCCTCGTAGCACACTAATTTAAAGAATAACATCGTTAGAATATTAAGAATCTAGGGGGTGGCTAGGGGACTATTCAAACACTAAATTAAATCATGACAAATACAATTATTTTCGATTCACTGATATTTTTGCAGTTAATAAAATCACTTTTCAATACGTTTAATATCAACGTTATTCAAACCTTAATTTTTTAAAAACGATTCAAAAACTTACTCGAGAAATGAATATCTTTTAAACGAATCTTAAAATGTTCAAAAAGTTTGCTTAAAACTTAATTTTCTGGCGAAAGCATATGTTTATAATTTTAGCGATTTCAAAGAATATTTAGATAAAAATTACGAAATTGTATACGTCTTTTTTCTAAAGTGATTAAATTTTAAAAAGTCGTTAAGAAATGAAGTTTCTTTCCTAATGAAGTTTGAGATACTCATCGAAGATTATTAAAAATAGCGTTATGAATGGTTCTCAAAGATAATGTTTGTCCTTTCGAAAGTGTTCACAAATTCAGACGTGTTCCACTTTCCTTATCAAGGGGGCCTCTAATCGTTTCTCTGTCCTGGGTCTTAAAAAACCATAATTCGGCCCTGCAAGAACGTTACGTTTAATCATACCGCATCGTCATTAATTACAAAAGGGAACCAGTTCGTTATTATTTCCAGTGGTAGGTCCGTTATCGTACCAGTCAGAAACATAAAATTTAATTAACTGATTTACATACGGCCCGCATTACTTAACGACGAATGAAATATATTCTTATGTGTACCGACTATTAACACTTGAATCATTTTCTGATAATTCCTATACTATCGACAAAATTCAAATGTTCGAATCTATATTGACATTATAAAAGAAAATCGTGTCCTTTTAATGAAACAAGTTTCAAACTGTTGGAAACAATATTTTAAGGACCTAAGCTATATTTATTTTAATTACAGGACTGTTCCTTAAAATGTTTTTTCATTTTTCTATTGTGTTCTTCTTTTCTGCAGGATAAGATCTCCCTCCCATAAAGATGAATTTCATTTTTCA